CTAGATCGCAGTCTGTGCCCGTCACTCACGTCACTCCACGTCACTGTCACTCACACGTCACTCCACGTCACTGTCACACGTCACTTCACGTCACTCCACGTCACTCCACGTCACTGTCCACGTCACTCCACGTCCACTGTCACACGTCACTCCACGTCACTGTCACACGTCACTCCACGTCACTGTCACACGTCACTCCACGTCACTGTCACACGTCACTCCACGTCACTGTCACACGTCACTCCACGTCACTGTCACACGTCACTCCACGTCACTGTCACACGTCACTCACACGTCACTCCACGTCACTCACGTCACTCCACGTCACTCACTCACACGTCACTCACACGTCACTGTCACACGTCACTCACACGTCACTTCACGTCACTCACGTTACTCCACGTCACTCCACGTCACTGTCACTCACACGTCACTCCACGTCACTGTCACATGTCACTCCACGTCACTCACGTTACTCCACGTCACTGTCACTCACACGTCACTCCACGTCACTGTCACACGTCACTCACACGTCACTCCACGTCACTCACGTCACTCCACGTCACTCACGTCACTGTCACTCACACGTCACTGTCACACGTCACTTCACGTCACTCCACGTCACTGTCACTCACACGTCACTCACACGTCACTCACACGTCACTCTCACGTCACTTCACATCACTCCACGTCACTCACACGTCACTCACACGTCACTCCACGTCACTCTCACGTCACTTCACATCACTCCACGTCACTGGCGTACTCTTCCACAGCACTCCTTCGTTCCTGAGGTCAAGTCCTGTGCAGCCACGGTTGCCGTTGCCTTGAGCCCGACCCAGGCGCACAGAGCAGCTCGTGGCTTCTTGCTTCGCGCTCCCTGAGGGCCGTGTGCACACCGCTCTGCTGAGACTGGAGCCCAGCACGCCGCCCGCAGCCCCGTCTGGAGTTGGTTACACCTACGGAATGTAACCACAGCCACCTTCGGCTGGGCTAGCGTATACTTTCTCATTTGAACAAACTGGAATCTCATTGGGCAAGGTGCATTGTTACTTAGTTTTGCTTAAAGCTCTACCTACCAGTATTATGTATAAAATCCTAATTACACACTTAGTCTGCGCTGGTCATAAACACACACTCTCTGTCTTACCAATGGACTAGACTGTAAGCTGCCTGAAGACCAGCTACTTTTATATCTGTAAACATGGTAACGACTGCTCGATAAATATTTATTTTATTGACTCATGCCTTAGGAAAAAGTAAAGTTATGTCAAGAAAGAGTCCATAACTCGTTGGCATTCGTGATGCTTTGCAAACTCCCTCAAGACTCACAGCGCTCAGGGGACCTGGCAGATACTAATAGTAGCCCTAGGGTGACCAAGCATCCGTGGTCATTGCATGATGCTGTGGGGACAAACCACTTTGGAATCTAAGTCCTTGAATAGGATTATTCACACTGTCTCCTGGGCCAGGAAATCCATAACTGTTCTTATGATCCCTCAGTAATAATCATTTCCGTGTCCCATTGTTGACTTCCTTGAGTCACTTGATAATCCTCGAGTGAAGTGGGATTAGGTGGGTGATCTGCTTTGTGAGGTCTGATCCTGACCCCAAAATCATCAGCGAGCATACTTAAATTTGGGTCCTACCCGAGCTGGGCATGCCGGAAGTTGTAATAATCTCAGTGTCCATAGGTTAACTTCTGGTAATTGCTTTGATAATTGAGTGTTTCAGTCATTGAATATTTCTTTTTCTTTTCATTTTTTTAAATACCCATTCTTTTAAAATATTATTTGCTTTTCAGTTTTTGGTTGTTAGCCTTAGCCCTCAACGGCTGCGCTATCCATTTATGGGTATGTACGCCTGCTTGTTTGTATGTGCACACGTGTGTTCAGGTGCCCATGCCCAAGGAGACCAGAACTGGAGTCGCAGGTGGTTTGTAAACTACCAGTTAGTTATGGGTGCTGGGAACCAAACCTGGATCTTATGCTAGTAATCACTGAGCCGTCTCTCCAGCCCTGAATTTCTCTTTAAGTTTTTTTAAATTATATTTTTATTTATTTAGGATGTGTGTGTGTGTGTGTGTGTGTGTGTGTGTGTGTACCATGGTGCATGCATGAAGGTCAGAGGACATTGATGTGCAGTTGGAGTTGATTCTCTCCTTCTGCTGTGTGGGTCTCAGAGACAAAATTCAGGTCCTCAAACTTACTAGTAGGCACCTTTACCCAGTGGGCTATATTGCTGGCCTTGACATTTTGTTTGTTTATTATTTATTTATTTGTTTATTTTATGTATGTGTGTGTATCACAGCCTGTGTGTGGAAGTCAGAGAACAACTCGTAGGACTTGGTCCTCTCCTTCCACCACGTGAATCCTGAGGATGGAACTCAGGTTGTCAGGCTTGGTGACACGCACCTTTACCTGCTGAGTCCCTCACTGACCTTTTTTATCGTCCTAATTACTCTCTTCTGGTCACTGAGTTCCATGTTGCTTAAAGGACACTAAAACAATGATGCGGTGTCCCCTGGGACCCAGGTGATATGTAGTCGTGGTATTTCACATCGCCAATGACATAGAACCATGAAACCTGCTTATGGCAAGGTTCTTACCATAAGTTCAGTCTCTAGAGAATTCCTATGTTGTCAGAGAGCGATGCAGGTATTGTGGAGGAATCCTGCACCAGAGGCATTGTGGGGGAATATATCAGTAGTGCGAGAATAGAATAGAAATGTATTTGGCTATCAAGTTTAAGGAATTAGAAGAAAGCCACAAAGAAAGAAAGAAAACCCCTTTTATCCAAGTCCCCGTCTTTAGGGAGAAGCAGGGCAGCATAAGGAGGGTTTATTTAAGAGTCTTTGCAGCTGGGAGTTTCACTGACAATTTTGTTAATGTACTTGCTTTTCCCCTTCTCCCAGGCCTGTTGTGAATTCCTTGCTTGATATTATTATTCATGGTTACTGGGCGCACCTGAAATCAAGCAATAATGCACCATTTGGTGATTGTTATAGTAAGTGGTCCTTTTCCACAATGTCGAGCTGGTCAGGTTATCTCCTTCCTAATGAGGGGTCCCTCATCTTTTCCAATGTCCTAATCAAATGCTCCTCATTGTCTTGAAGCACAGCCACGTCTGGCTGCATCTGCTTCAAAGATGTCAGGTCTCCAGCCTGCTCACAGGTTCTCTCCAGAGCAGAGACAGAGGCCCGCTGAACCTCTTTGAAAGTTCCTGGTCATCAGCCACTCAACACAGCTGTGCTGTAAGCCAACAGTGGGCAAACACAGCATGAGGCTAACTTTATAGTGATGCAGACATTTCCAGAAAGGGCTTCTCCCTAGATTTCGGTGCTCCCGAGTTCATCTTAGGGGTTCCTCTTTGCCCTGCTCCTTTTTTTTTGAAACATGTGTGTGTGTGTGTGTGTGTGTGTGTATGTGTGTGTGTGTATATATACACACACACACACATATATGTATGTATGTGTGTCTGTATGTATGTATGTATACCTCAGTGTGTGTGACTTTGCTTCAGTGTGGAGGATTTCCAGGGCAGTGACAGAAAGCTAAGGCAAAACCGTGGAGTTGCCCATTGAGGCCAGAGTCTGTGTTTTATATCCCCCAACTCTCTACTGCTCAGCATGTGGACCAGGCACAGAACATGGTTTCTAAGTGCATCACAAGGTGACTTTACTTCTTTAACCCAAACTTTACTTCTTAAGGTGACTTTACTTCTTTAACCCAAACTTTACTTCTTTAACTCCAACATGGAGTGCATTGTTTTAAACCTCTGCCAAAGAGTCTTACTATTAAGTATAGTGTAATCTGTTCAAGTATTGCTCCATGATTGTTTGACAATAGAAAACACATTGTATGTTTTGGAACCTTATCATGAAAAGTCAAAATTTAGCACACTGTATCTCCAATTAGTCCAGTCAAGGAGCGTATTTTTCCCCTGGAGGCTAACAAATGATCCAGTCACAGATTTGTTCTATGATTATTCGCCACTGGACTTCCTGTGGTCAGAATGCCTTATAAGATTTCAGAAATGGAAAATTTGGAGGGAAAACCATCTGCATTTCTTAAAATAGTTAAACAGAAACTTCCCAGGAGGAGAGTGTTATTGATCTCACTCAACAAATGTCTACTATGCTCACAAACGTATATTGATCAGTCAGTGTGAGACATGAGTTGGAGATACATGTGAAACTGACAGTTCTTTAAATTATAATTTAGTAGCCAAAGGCAAAAATAAAGCAGTGTGTGTGAAGACAAATTCTGCAGTAGAAGCGTGTATAAGGAGCAGAAAGGGAGGTGTGAGTCACACACAGAGAGCCGGGAAAGCTTCCTGGAAGAGACAGCTGCTTTAGAGTTCAAACATGACAGCAGTTTTGCCTTCCCCATGACTGTCATGAGGGGAACGCTCAGAATACACGCCTCGGGGTGCTCATGTAGAAGGCAGTGTCACATCTTAAGAAATAAACTTTTAAATGACAAAAATCTGAAAAGCATTGACTCAGTATAGTACCTAAATTCGCCACTGTGCCCTATGGTTTATGCAATATTCAAGGAACAATGCAGAATCAAACTACACCATATTGATGGATTTATATGTATGCATATAAGGCTAATATATTTTCTGTTGCCAATTTTTTAAGGTTTCGTAAATAGTGTCACTAACATTTCTTAAAATGAAGAAAAGCACTCATATGTGCTGGTAGAAATTCAGTGTGTTTTATAGAACACAGGTATTCTTGATATAGCCTACGGGATGTGACTTTTCATAAAAATAATGAATTTCTAGATTTGTCAGCCGTTTCCAAACAGATGCACTCTGCTAATCGAACGGAAGCATTTAGAGTCCAGATCTCAACTATCAATAGCTTTTAGTATTGCAAATTAGTTTGTCTATTGGGCCGTGTGGTTCTTGATCAAAAGTAGCAAGCAGTTCTGTGTGCATGCTTTCCGTATGACTGCCTTGCTGGGGTTTGATGATCGCACTTTTCTTTGCAGAGTTTTAAGCTGAATGTGGACAGTCACTGTGCGCTCAAGGAAGCTGTGGAGGAGGAAGGACACCAGCTTCTCCAGCTTATTGCATCTCACAAAGCAGGTAAATCCTCCTGAAATATTGCAGGTCTTTCTGTCTCCAGACCGTTAAGAATGAGGAAGCTGTAAATTACTGCATATATTCACTTCCTTATGTATTATTAATATTTACATTATCAGATTGACCTTCAAGATTTATAAATGTTTCATATACTGCATACAATGCTGTGATACTTATAAGATGAAATACTGCCTCCAAACGGTCTGTTCATTTTATTTGGGCCTTGCCATTCACCCGAGTCTCAATTGAAACCACATTCCTGAAAACTTCACATTGACATGCTCTTTGATGTAGCTGCTCTGGAAATAACATTAAGATAATGAAGGACAATTGTGCTTATAGTTACAATGCATATGCATCAGGTGCATATAGATGTCATTACTGATATATAGCAGCAGTCTAGAGGTGTCTGATTATTTCCCTGTCAGTTCACACACGGACAATTTGCAGGTTCTCTGTTGGTCTCTGCATTTGCAGAAGTTTCGGTCTTCAATCAGTTCTTGGCCCAATATTAATATATGTATGAGGAACAGATTATAAATAAAAAAACTGGTTGTCATTTAGTTATACTAACTCTGGTAGTAGAGGACCATAAGGCAAGGCGAGCTACAGCTTGGTGAGAACAGCACTGGTCAGATGTGTTAATGTCAGATTGCTGTCTTAATTCTGGCCGGTTTGTTGTATTTCCCTTTGAATTAATCTTATCTGTTTTCATAATATAAAGCATCCACACAGACACGCACAGAGCCTGGTGTTTGGAATGTGAAGCTTAAAGTCTTCATTACTTCTGTGCATCAAGGTTTTGTTCCCTTGCATTTTTCAAGTCAACACACTGAGCTAAGTCAGTTCCCACACCAGGCATCTGTGTGCTTGTCCTGCTTTTCTGTCTTATGTCAAGACTTGCTGGTCTCGGCTCTGAGTGACCCAGAACTGGTGGCAGGTGGCAGGCAAGGCCATGTCAAAGCATGTATGTGGTTTGAAATAGCCACCTAATTTCGGTGTAGCAAACAACAGTGATAAAGATGCAGTTGGGTCCACAACTTGTGCTCTGCTCTCCTTTGGAGAAGGACTGAAGGACACGCTGAAGATGGTTGCAAGTCAATGGCAGGCGCTGCAGAGGCAAATCAAACAGCAGCACAGCTGGATCCTCAGAGCTCTGGACACCATCAAAGCCGAGATCCTGGCTACTGATGTGCCCGTGGAGGAGGAGGAAGGGACGGGAAGCCCCAAGGTAAGTGGCTTGAAGTTCGCCTGATTTCCTCTTATTTCTGCCTTTTGAACTAGGCACCACTGAAGTTTTCTTTCCACCCCTAAGGCTTTTTGTTTCTAGTGGGTAAACTTTATACAGCTCTCTCTCTCTCTCTCTCTCTCTCTCTCTCTCTCTCTCTCTCTCTTGCTCTCTCCCAGAAACATCCACAGTTGGCTGGGTTCTCCTCCATCAGGCAGTTATCAAGAAAATGGCTTGACTTAGAACAGAAAAGGCCACAACATTCAAGTTTTCCAGGAAGAGGCCATTTTGTGCAAAGTGGCAGAGTAGACGGGGGACAGTAATCTAGGGGTGGGAGAAAGGGGGACATAAAACATTTAGTAAACAAAACATAAAGCATCTTTAACATGAATAATCAGAACGGTTTTAAATTGTTTTGTTGCAACTATAAATCACTATAATCAGTGCAATCACTCAGCTCTGACATCCATTAGCCGCTTGGTTACAGCAAATTAACAAAGAAGAGAGAAAGTGATTCATTATCTCATTCCTGTTAATGACTATCAGATGCATTGCCTAATTAGGCGATGGTCATTGTAGTGGGGAGAAGGTCATATGCTTTGCTACAAATCTTTTTGCTCCGTGTGTAAGTTCTCCGTAATGGTGCATGCACCGAACACAAGTATTTTAAAAATGAGTATTGACATGTTTTGGTCATCCATTTTAGAGTTACAGAATGACCCATGAAAGACAGGCAACCAAACTTTATAAACGTGTCACCTCTTACAGTGTAACACTGTAGAAGTATCTTTGGACTCACAATGTGGAAAATAATTTTATTAATTCAATATTCTCTTTTTTAAAAATATATTTTATTATTTTTATGTGTATGCGTGTATTGCCTGCATATATGTAAGGGCACCCGTGTCTTGCAAGAAGAGGCCATCGGATCCCCTGGATCTGGAGTTACGGACAGTTGTTAGCTGCCATGTGGGTGCTGGGATTCGAACCCAGCTCTTCTGCTGAGCCATCTCTCCACCCTCTCAATAGTCTCTTATAGTCCCTCCTGACTCTGTTTCGGTTCTTCTCAAAAGTAAATGCAGAAAGTCTATTGCCCAGTAGACAGGATTCAAAGACATTGTAACTGGGGGAAATGGATTGAAGAGTTCCTGGTTTCTAGTCCTGGCAGGAAGGAGCGAGTAACAACATCAGGTACCTTGTGCTAAATGTACCCAGAACTAGCCGGCAAGGGCTTTGCTCTCTGAGATGCTTCAGAGGAGGCAGAGCAGGAGAGGCCGGCCCTGCAGTGCTGAGACTGCGCAGCCAGTGGAAAGCTCAGACGACAGCCTTTAATGACAGGCCACTGGAGGCTCCACGGAGAGGTCACAGTTCAGGGAATACTTGCAGGAAGAGATGTGTCTTGCCACATGAACGTGTATTTCAGGAGGTGGTGTTGAAAGCATCAGCTGCGGCTCAGCTGATAACATGGAATGGCGCACTCAGCAGACGTCTGGGAACAGAGGAAGCAGTGAGCTCAGGGTCACTGCAGGGGAAGTTGACTAGGCCTAGGAAGTTGACCTAGGTTCGACCCTCAGCACCACAAAAAGAGGGGTGGGCTGCACAGTCTACTGGTAGAGTCCTTGCCTGGGATGCAGGAGAACCAAGGTTCGACCCTCAGCACCACAAAACAAGGACAAAAAAACCCACTCTGAGCTGAGATGTATTGAAGAGCTGTACTGGATGGAGGCTCCCTGCCAGGGGCTGTTGTGTAGCAGCCTGAATTCTCCTGTTTAGTGTCACAACGAACACAAAATGGTTCCAGGTCAGTCCTTAGTGGAAACAGGGACAGGAGAGGTTAAGCAGTTTGCCTGAGGGCACACAGCTAGGATTTGAATCCAACCCAGAGGCTTAGATACTGTGTTCTCACCCTCCACCCCATGCTGGTCTGGTCGCAACAATGTGGTGCATTGGAGATTCAGAGCCAGTCAGCGCCAGTCTCCTGGCGCTCTGGGAAGTGTGGACATGCCTTTGACACTGTGTTGTGCTGTGAAAAGACGGGGAACAGCCAGGAAGGAGGCTGGATGGGAGGTGAGTGCTGAGGGAGGGCTGCTTTGAGGAAGTGCTGATCCTTAGCTCCGTGTGGTTAGCAGAGGAGGGGGAGCTGGTGGCCTGCTGTAGGTAAGGGGGGGAGGGAGGAAGGGGGAGGGGGAACGCGCTGGGAAGTGTGGACATGCCTTTGACACTGTGTTGTGCTGTGAAAAGACGGGGAACAGCCAGGAAGGAGGCTGGATAGGAGGTGAGTGCTGAGGGAGGGCTGCTCTGAGGAAGTGCTGATCCTTAGCTCCGTGTGGTTAGCAGAGGAGGGGGAGCTGGTGGCCTGCTGTAGGTAAGGGGGGGAGGGAGGAAGGGGGAGGGGGAAGGGGGGCTTTGGAATTATCTCATTCCTGTTAATGACTATCAGATGCATTGCCTAATTAGGCGATGGTCATTGTAGTGGGGAGAAGGTCATATGCTTTGCTACAAATCTTTTTGCTCCGTGTGTAAGTTCTCCGTAATGGTGCATGCACCGAACACAAGTATTTTAAAAATGAGTATTGACATGTTTTGGTCATCCATTTTAGAGTTACAGAATGACCCATGAAAGACAGGCAACCAAACTTTATAAACGTGTCACCTCTTACAGTGTAACACTGTAGAAGTATCTTTGGACTCACAATGTGGAAAATAATTTTATTAATTCAATATTCTCTTTTTTAAAAATATATTTTATTATTTTTATGTGTATGCGTGTATTGCCTGCATATATGTAAGGGCACCCGTGTCTTGCAAGAAGAGGCCATCGGATCCCCTGGATCTGGAGTTACGGACAGTTGTTAGCTGCCATGTGGGTGCTGGGATTCGAACCCAGCTCTTCTGCTGAGCCATCTCTCCACCCTCTCAATAGTCTCTTATAGTCCCTCCTGACTCTGTTTCGGTTCTTCTCAAAAGTAAATGCAGAAAGTCTATTGCCCAGTAGACAGGATTCAAAGACATTGTAACTGGGGGAAATGGATTGAAGAGTTCCTGGTTTCTAGTCCTGGCAGGAAGGAGCGAGTAACAACATCAGGTACCTTGTGCTAAATGTACCCAGAACTAGCCGGCAAGGGCTTTGCTCTCTGAGATGCTTCAGAGGAGGCAGAGCAGGAGAGGCCGGCCCTGCAGTGCTGAGACTGCGCAGCCAGTGGAAAGCTCAGACGACAGCCTTTAATGACAGGCCACTGGAGGCTCCACGGAGAGGTCACAGTTCAGGGAATACTTGCAGGAAGAGATGTGTCTTGCCACATGAACGTGTATTTCAGGAGGTGGTGTTGAAAGCATCAGCTGCGGCTCAGCTGATAACATGGAATGGCGCACTCAGCAGACGTCTGGGAACAGAGGAAGCAGTGAGCTCAGGGTCACTGCAGGGGAAGTTGACTAGGCCTAGGAAGTTGACCTAGGTTCGACCCTCAGCACCACAAAAAGAGGGGTGGGCTGCACAGTCTACTGGTAGAGTCCTTGCCTGGGATGCAGGAGAACCAAGGTTCGACCCTCAGCACCACAAAACAAGGACAAAAAAACCCACTCTGAGCTGAGATGTATTGAAGAGCTGTACTGGATGGAGGCTCCCTGCCAGGGGCTGTTGTGTAGCAGCCTGAATTCTCCTGTTTAGTGTCACAACGAACACAAAATGGTTCCAGGTCAGTCCTTAGTGGAAACAGGGACAGGAGAGGTTAAGCAGTTTGCCTGAGGGCACACAGCTAGGATTTGAATCCAACCCAGAGGCTTAGATACTGTGTTCTCACCCTCCACCCCATGCTGGTCTGGTCGCAACAATGTGGTGCATTGGAGATTCAGAGCCAGTCAGCGCCAGTCTCCTGGCGCTCTGGGAAGTGTGGACATGCCTTTGACACTGTGTTGTGCTGTGAAAAGACGGGGAACAGCCAGGAAGGAGGCTGGATGGGAGGTGAGTGCTGAGGGAGGGCTGCTTTGAGGAAGTGCTGATCCTTAGCTCCGTGTGGTTAGCAGAGGAGGGGGAGCTGGTGGCCTGCTGTAGGTAAGGGGGGGAGGGAGGAAGGGGGAGGGGGAAGGGGGGCTTTGGAAGAAGTGGGAAATGACTGAGCTTCTGCATAAAAACACTCCTGAATGAGTGAGGACATGCCACAGTTGATGTCCAGAGACGGTGCATCTCCCAAAGGGTAGGAGGCAGTGTAAGTCCTGCTGTTGAGGTCCAGCTAGAAGAAGAAGCTTTCAGTGAGCTCAATGAGTGTGTTCTGTAGGGAGCTGACAGGAAACAAAGCCGCTTAGTCAGGTCTGAGAAGGAGGAAGTGTTACTACGGGAGACACAATGGCAGCTTTTCTCAACATGAGTTCTACCTGCGACCACAGCAGCAACTCCCACATTCCAACAAGAACAAGTAACAGGTTCAAGACTCCCTCCCCCAAATGAGTGGGAGGGTGTCTGATGCTTGTTACTTGAAACAGCTAAAATGTTTTAAATTGGGACTGTGTAATTAAATTAGGTTACATCTTATTCTAATGAAATATTACATAGCCATTAAAAGCAATGTTTAGAAATATTTAACTGATTAATTATTTTTATGTGTGTGAGTGTTTTGCCTGAATATAAGCGTACCGTGTGCGCAAAGTGCTCATGAGGCCAGAAGACAGCATCGCATCCCCTGGAACTGGAGTCATAGTTGTTAGCCACCATGTGGGTGCTGGGAACCAAACCTGGGTCTCCTGCAAGAACAGCCAGTGCTCTTAACCACTGAGCCATCTCTCCAGCCCCTTGAAATTTTAAAAGGTAGACGATATCTATAATAAATATCTGAATGCTTTTAAACATCTTTTAATTTTCCAAATCTCTACATTGAGCAAGAATTATTAGAAGAAAAAGAATAAATCTAAAATGTAAGAGTTAAAAAATGATTTAAAAAGGTTAAATAGGTGACCTTGTGCCAAGAGGACATGAGATCTGAATTTCAATATGAGGAGGGACAATAGAT